CATACTCCATCGGTTTCATCTGCCGTTCTTCTTTTTTTGGGGCTTCTCTATCCTTCAGTTACAAAGAAATACTTGAGTGCCCTGAAAACGAGGAAGGAAAATAGAATCCCTCTCTGCAGGAGAAGAACTTTAGAAAAACCATAGGATGAATATTGGCACAGCGCTGGTTTGGACTTTTCTACAGCCTGATTATTTGAAGCATAAGCAAAGGGAGTGGCGAGGTTTGTGAAAAGGAAAGATAATTTGTTGTTGCATTCTACAAAAACCACGTTGGTAAGAAACTCATTTCTGTCTATGTAGTATGTGCACTCAGACTTTCCAAATCCACAAAAATTTCCTTCTGAGAACATGGGAACTTTGCAGACCGTCCCCATGAGGCCTGCTGATCTAGTCCCGATGTACTTTGGCTCTGATCTGCAACTCACTCAACCCACTGAACTTAATTAGTGGGGTCCAGAGTGATGTTCTGCAAAAAGCAACAGAAAGGCTGGGTTGACTTTGTGACTTCATTGTTAAGTCAAACTGCTTGTGTGCAAATACCTCCAGCTTAAATGGTTTGCGGATTTCTATTTATTTGCATGTGTTTATAGGAGAATTTCTACCCCGCTCTTCATCGTACGATCCCCGAGTGAGCGATAACGCAGCGAAACAACACTAAAATAAAACCAATTCAGCCGAATTTATAAAAGAAGGTGAAAATGTGGGGTGTCATTAAAAGTGTCTGGGGAGCTACAAATGGGTTACTCCCTTGTAGTAGTGATGGAATGAACTTCCATTGCAGGGCCCCTATGGTTACTTGAAGGGACATAGTCACAATGTACATATTGTATATGGTTGCAGTGTACAGATTGTCACTGGCTCTCAAGCTGGAACTCAAAGTAAGGCTGCTTCCTTGAAAGGAAACCAATTGCAGGCAGTGTTGTGGTGCTGTTTACTGGTTTCCCAATGTGGAGGTCACTGCTGGTAACTGAACGAGAGGAGGAGGGAGACGGTGGGGAGATTAGCCCAGGGTGGGTGCAGTGTCAGGCTGGCTCCCCCGTTCCCTCTGCTCCATGCCAACCTCTCTGTCTCCTCACACTTCTGCCTCTTCGTTGTCAACAAGGACCTCCTGTCAGGCTCCAGGGAATCCTATCCCTCCCATGGTGACAGCAAAGAAGCAGATAAAAAGAAGAAGAGTTCTTACCAAGTAGTTTATTCAATAATCACAGCGAGAGACAAAGGAATGCGGTCTCTCTCAAGATAATGGCATTTCTCCAAGTAAAGTCCCACCCCTCTACTATTCTACATCACCCCTGCATTGGCTCATCCGAGCTTTCTGTCTCTGAGCTCTCTGTTCTACTACCCTCAATGCCAGCCTAGTTTTGGGAGAGGGTGGGTCAGGAATGCTTTGCAACGGCACTGAGTCTGTCAGCTGTCTCTCCCCTGGTGCTGCTTCTTCTTCCTGCTGTTCCTCTTCCAGTATTTCCCAGCTTCTCTCCTCTGCAGCCTCTGAACTATGACCTTCTGCAAACCACTGTTCTAAATCTATAGTGTCCTCCTGTTCTCAGGAAGGTTAAGGAGAAGGGGGGAGTGGCCCCCACCATTCCTCATCTGTTCAGCCCCTGACACCTCCACATGGGGAAGTGTGGTAGGCAATGCCACTATACTTTTCTCCACCCTGCCAGATGTTACTGTAGGTAACTACCTCAAAATCAAAAGGACGTAACTTCAGAGGAATATGTTTAGGATGCAAGCTTTCCCCAAAGTCTTTTTCTTCATCTTTGGCAATCACTCGTAGCCGAGTAAGATTGTCTTCCATGAACACAGTTTTAACCATGAGTCTGTAAGTGACTGTGGAGGCCAATTCTGGATTCACGTGTCCTTCCACATAGATTTCTGGGCAGGAATTGATCATGGTGAGGGTTTGCCAAGCGTGCCTTCCTCTTAGCACGTTTCTCCCTTGCATCCTGAGTTCGAGTGTCTTCAAAGCCCATGACACCTTTGGTAAAGGCTGTTCTCCAACTGGAGCGCTCGCAGGCCAGTGTTTCCCAGTTGTCAGTGTTTATACTACATTTTTAAAGATTTGCCTTGAGAGAGTCTTTGAACCTCTTTTGTTGACCACCAGCATTACGCTTTCCATTTTTAAGTTCGGAATAGAGTAGTTGCTTTGGAAGACAATAATCAGGCATCCGCACAACATGACTTCCTCAAAGTACAATCATTCTGCCTGCTAGTCTCCTCCGAGTTTCTTTTATCTTCTTGTGGGCTTTTCCCATGCAAACCCATGGCAACACTAGCTTTGCCCTCCATTCTCTGATCCACATCAGAACACTGATTCTCCCAACCTATATCATTCAGGAATTCTCAGCAAAAGGCCCCTTCAAAACATTGGATGGAGATGAACTGCTGACGTGCAGAGTTGGTCCTCATAAGGCAGTCATAGGCAAACTCCAGCCCTCTAGATGTTTGGGACTACAATTCCCATCAACCCTGACCACGGGTCCTGTTAGCTAGGGATGATGGGAATTGTAGTCCCAAACATCTGGAGGGCCGGAGTTTGCCTATGCCTGTCCTAAGGGGTGGGGAAGCCAGGATGCAATAGTGCAAACACTCATTTTCCAATGTCCGTGAACTGTGGCGTTTGTAATCTATCCCTCTGCAGTGGTCATATAAACAGATGGAAATATGTGCATGTTGTGATGATCTCATGCCATGGCTGACATGCGACTTTTCCTGTTTATCCTACACATAAGTGCTTTCTGTGTAGGAAATCCATAGCATTGCAAGGTCCAGCAGATCACACCCCTGGCACCCTGCCTTGCTGGCTTGTAGCTTGGCTAGAAGACAGGCAGCAAAGGCAAAGCATCTGCTATGCCCACAAAGCCCTCTTGCTTCTAAGCCAATTTTTTATTTACACTCAAACGCTACCCAAGAGCCGCTCTTGAACAAGCTGGGAACCACGTGTACTTTATGAGCCGCACACTTTGGCCATCTCTTCCATGGAGAAAGCCAATGTAATTCTATATTTATCCTCCTAGACTTCAGCTTCAGCTTATCCCATCTCACACTTGGACAACACTTTACATTTCTATGTCTGGCATAGCTAAAACCACAGAAACGGTTCTGCACAGATGTAAATATGCTGAAGACCGAGAAAAGCATGCAGGGAAGGGATTTGTATGTGCAAGGTACTTCTGAACAGTGGTAATTTTGAAGAAGTAAATATTTCCTGGGAAGAGACATTGATTGCTAAACCATTCTGGGGATTGTAGTTCTCTTTTTTAAAAAAATAATTTTTTATTGAATGGTTTTATGTTACAAAAAACAATACAGTCATACTACCACTAAATATAATTAAGAAATAAAAATTACATACATTGATATTTAGTTTGTTATTTACCGTCTTATTTCCTCCCAAACATTGCATACAACAACACACATATGTGCAGACACCCACACACCCACACCCGCACAGAAAATGATAATAATGAAAGTAAATATTTTTTCCCCTTTTATCTTCCAAAATCTTTTCTTCAACTTTGACTTCCTGTCAAGTCCCTTTGCATAAGTTTTATCTTACATTTGAACGTACACAAAACAATAAACCTTTCTATATAATTTTTCTAATACATTCTGAAAACATAATAAATCCTTAATTGTAGTCCACCTCCTTTTAGTTCCTTTATCACTTGAATGCTAGCATGGAGTCAAAACTATTATTGTATTTTTGAACATATTTTTTATAAACATCCCATTTTCCCACTAATTTTTGCTTTGAGTTTCCTCTGAGTTTACTAGTCAGTTGAGCCGTCTCCACCAATTCCTGTAATTTGATTTGCCAATCTGTTATTTTTGGAGCCTCGTGATTGTAGTTCTCCATGAGAGGAATAGTGATATCCTTATAACTCTTATAACTTTTAACAAACTATAGTTTCCAGAATTCTTTGGGGGAAGCCACAACTGTTCGAAGTGGTATCATGGTGCTTTAAATGTATTGTGCAGTTGGGGGATCTAACTGAGACATATTGAGACATATTGGGCGGGGGACTGAGGGTACGCATGAGAACCTTGAATTGTTCCCATAAGCTTTCAAGCAGCATTTGCATCTTCCAGCAGACTGGTTGAATATGTTTTCACTGCTCACTGTTTGCGTGGCGAGTTCCTGCCTCCCCCAGGAAGAAATAAAGACACAGGACACCAAGTATTAAGGTTAATGGGCGAAATAGGCCACAACTTTATTGATTACAGGAATGAGAGGTATTGGCTTAGGCACTGGTCCTATCGGCTAGTCGGCTTCAGCCCAATTGCATGAAGGGTTAACCACCAGAAGAGGGAGTCCTGCTGAGGCACGCCAACTAGGAACTCCCACGGGGTCACCGCTCGGGGGCGTGCCTTAGGCCCACACCTCCATAGGCTTTGGACAGGGCAACGCCCCCCGGAGTCCTTTATTGGACTACCCTTTGCTGTGGGGGGAGGCGATGGCGCTTCCTCCCCCCCCACTCACACTTAACCCTCCCTTACCAATGCCTAACCGCCAATGCCGAGGAGTTGTGACGAGTTGCTACGAGGTAGGCGAAAAATCAATTGGCTGGAAATTTACCAATTGGAAAAAATTCCTACCAGGCCCCTTGCGGCGACCAACCGAAGTCCATAGCAAGGTCAAGGAGCCTGCCTAAGGGAGGGAGGGTGGGAAACTAATCTGCTGGCTGGCGCGGTGAAAAGAGGGGGGAGCCTCGGCCGCGCCGGCCCTAAATAGGGCAGGCCATGCCCCCCCCCAGCCAGCCAGTTGGGTGGCTGGGTGGATGACGCGGCCGAGGATTCCCCTGATCTCGCGGGGGCTGGGGACAGCCCCCACGCACGTGGGGTGGGCGTGAAGCCCGCAACCCCACCTCCTCCCAAGCTCGGAAGTGGCTTTACCAGGAGATGAGCTGTAGCGTTCTTCACCCAATCCTAGATTCTGAGTTGTCTTCACTGTGAGGTAACAATGTGCATCACAGTGGAACAATGTAGAAGTCCCAAAAGAAAGAATGATTACAGCCAATATCTGTTGTTTCACACACACACACACACACACACACACACACACACACACATATATATAGAGAGAGAGAGAGAGAGAGAGATGGAGCCATGTTCAGTGGATAAAAGGCACTCCAGGCCATTGATGTTTCAGTATCTAGAAGCAGCCCCCTCTCTAGCTCCAAACGAGATCAAATGGGATTATTCCCGCACCATCTGTCAGAGGCTAAAAGAGAGCCAGGAGTACCCACGAACATCTTCACTGTCTTGTTGCTTATTGTTGAATTCAGCAGCAGCTCACTTCAAAAAGAAAAAGATGATTTGAAAACCAGCAGCTGCTGAAGACTAGTTGCCACATACAGCTTCCTTCATCCGTGAGAAGCTTTTTCACAGTTAGAAGGACTGTCCCAAGGTGACTAAGTCAGGTGAGCACAAAGGCACTAGAATGCACAAATCAAGAGCAGGCCAGACAGCCCTTTCTCTTTTTATGTGCCTCAGTCCATTCCGGTCTTATCCGCCGACGCAGACATAAACATCGTCACCAGTCACTTCATTTCAGATATTTGGCTTCTGTGTCCATGATAAATAACCTAATAAAGATGAAGTGCAAGGCTAAAGTTAACTTAGTCCCTGTGGAACGCCTTCCCATCAGATGTCAAGGAAATAAACAACTACCTGACTTTTAGAAGACATCTGAAGACAGCCCTGTTTAGGGAAGTTTTTAATGTTTGATGTTTTGTTGTGTTTTTAATATTCTGTTGGGAGCCACCCAGAGTGGCTGGGGAAACCCAGCCAGATGGGCGGGGTATAAATTCTTATTCTTATTCTTCTTCCCTCACAGACAAGCTTTCAGGGGCCACATGCTAGTGATGGGTAGGGAAAGAGAGAAAAGTGAGCAGAGCAACAAATGCATCCCTTATCTTTGTATATTGCTGCCACAGTCAGAAATTTCTATGCATCCACATGCACCTCCATCCTCTCTCCGAGCAAGCAAGAGGCATTATCAGAGTTCAAGGGCACATTCCAGCCAGGAATTCATCCCTGGTCTTGCCTAATGTCCTGGACTGGTAGGATGCAGAGGAATGGTGGAAGGTACCAGGGGAAGAAGGCTCAGGGCCCGGGGAATGGCAGTGGGACAATGATGAATGGTCAGAGGGAGAAGACTGGGAAGATAGCTGAAGCTAGTTGGTAGCTGAAGCGGTAACAGGGCTTAGTTAGAAGGGAGAGTCCGTGGTAGAGAGAAGTCCAGAATCAGTAGCGGAAGTGGAAGCAGGAGAGTGGGATGAGGGAAGCCAAGAGGCAGAGATGAGGCAGGCTGGTAAAGAAGCAGAGGGGCCTCTCCCTCCTGCTGCAATAAGCTCCCCTTCTCCCTGGGCTCCCAGGACCACAAGAGGCATGCAGCAGGAGGAGCAAAGGCAGGCACACCAGTGCAGCCTCAGATTGCTTGGGAAAGACACGGCAGAGAAGGAGACTTAGGCAGCTCTAGCTGCATGCCTTGTATCTTATTTCCAGCTGATGTAGACTAGTACGAAACAGTAGTATCATTCTGGAGACACTGTCCTTTTGAGGCTTTTGAGATGTCTTCTGTTGAAACTTTTGAAAGACTATTGTGAGACTGTCCTTAGAAATCTGTTTTGGAACACACGGCTTGACGGTCCTCGCTTCCACTCCGTTATATTGTACATATGAACTTTGACTGACTTATTCCTACAGTTTGAATGATATCATTATTCTATTATATATTCTCTACTAACAATTAGCCTACGTGTTGTGTTTGTATTGTTGTGATTGGTGCTTATTAGGCCTGGCACTCCTGTGCAGATCCTGTTTCTTCTAATGAAGAGTTAACTTCACTTACTCTGTGTCATTTATTGCTGGCTTGCTCCTGACACCTAAGGCCACCTAGTGAGTTTGTGGCAGATGCGATATTCGAAATGGGGGCTTCCTGATTTGTAGCTCGGGTTCTTTAGCCAGTACTCTGCATCAGCTCTGAACATATGGCGTTTAATGAAATTTCCCTCTTTTAAAACAGGCTTTGCACTGACCACCTACGGCCCTGTTCTCTCTTGGGCTGCTGGTGCAGGTGAGGGAATAAGGAGATTTAATGAGTAGCTTAAATTATTGTCAAGGCATGGAAATCCAAGGAGCTGCATTATATTTTGCTAGCAGCAAGTAGTAAGTGTTTAAAATCAGGATCTGAGAGAGTCATGTGAAATGTGACGTGCTATTATTAACAGAAGGAATTTCAATGAGAAAGATGTTTCTTGAGTGGTACTTGCTTGCTACTTACCTAGCTCAACAGCATCTCATTTTGATCAAAGCGCTTTGGCAGTGAAACAGAAAGAGAATAGCCTTTTAGAAGAACATCTGTGAGATTTTTCATAATTTGACAGGCCTCCCCCATATTTGCTCCTCCTTAAGCCCAGTGGGACCAGTCTTTAGCCAATACTAGAAGCTTTGGGAAAATTAAAAGAGCTACAGGAATGAGAACTGTATGACTCGTTCAGCTTGATGAGAAACGGAACTGACAGTGAAGTCTAGATCTGATTTCACTTGAACAAGTTAAAGTAATTAATCTTAATTGAAACTGAAATAAATGGAATAGGTTAAGGCTTCGTTTATATCTTATGGGGAAAAGCAGAATTGGAGATGTACTATGTTTAAAAACAGTCCATTACAACAAGAGGGGTTTGAGGAAGACATAAAACAGAATGTATCCCGTTATGAAGTATTAATAATAATAATAATAATAATAATTTATTATTTATACCCCCGCCCATCTGGCTGGGTCTCCCCAGCCACTCTGGGCAGCTCCCAGCAGAATAATAATAATAATAATGCAATAAAACACCAAACATTAAAAACTTCCCTAAACAGGACTGCCTTCAAATGTCTTCTAAAAATCAGAGTTCCTTGACATCTGATGGGAGGGCATTCCACAGGGCGGGTGCCACTACCGAGAAGGCTCTCTGCTTGGTTCCCTGTAAACTCACTTCTCACAGTGAGGGAACCACCAGAAGGCCCTAGGAGCTGGACCTCAGTTTCTGGGCTGAACGATGGGGGTGGAGACGCTCCTTCAGGTATACTTGGCCAAGGCCGTTTAGGGCTTTAAAGTTTGAAGCAAACAATATAACTACTTAATCTTTATTGGTGGACCCTTTAGAGATGTTCTACACATTGTAGAATCTGACAAGGCAGAGTTAGGTAGAATTCAAGGTTGTACCGCTTTAAAGTGTAGCCGAATGTTCACGTGTGCAAATTGTTTTATGCATTTAGGCAATTCGCTTATTCAGGAAGAGGGCAAGGATTTCTTTACTTAAAAGAAATGCAAGAGAGCATTCAAAAATATGATTCTCCCACCCACACCTGCATTCTGAAGTGGTACAGGTCAGAACTCTACTGCAACTGTCTATTGTGCAATACATAGATCAAATCAAGGTTAAATGACTAAAATAGGAAGAAACCTTGAAGTGTCAACTGGTAGAGCACATTATAAATAACTGCTTTGTTACTTGTCTTTAGCTTGATTCTTCCCTCTGTCTCACTGCCTTTCAGCTCAGCTCAGATAATTTCTAAAACTAATTTTGGAGTTGGCGTATTCATGTTGGGTTTGCTGCAGCTTTGAGTTTGTGGCATAATTTTCTTAGAGGTCACTGACATGCATTGATTAAAGTGCCACGCAGATGAAATATTGATGCAGTCATATTATTAGATCAGAGCTCTTTTTGTAGTGTGATTTAATCAACGCACACATAAAATTGTGCGGACATGCATATTGCTTAAATCGCAATACAAAAAGGAATTTTTTTAATGCAATTAAGTAATCACAGCAAGCTTGCTTTCAAAGTGGAGTTTTATCCCATACACATTTACCTGGAAGCTCTAGTAATTGCAATTCAGCTTGCTTCTGAGTAGATATGTATAGGATTGTGCTGTTCATCAATGTGCATATGCACTAGCAATCTGTAAGGAAAAGAAAACACAAACACTGCAGTTAACTATGTCTACACAACCATCTTAACAGCACAGAGAATGGCTAAGAGTTGACTCCTCAGTGCCTTTGTCACACGCAAGGTATGGTGCTTAGGAGCACCAAAATCCAGTTTTAGGAGGAGGCAGGGGTACAGGTATTTCATAAGCACCCTTAGCTAAGTCTAGTGATGTATAGTCACTAATCCTTTGTGACTGCAGAATGAGAAATTCCTTGAACCATTTGAGCTTTCAGTGTCAGAGATGTGCTTGATTTCTAACTGTTTCTGCAATGTTAAATAAACAGATCTCAGTTTTTTTCTCTCTGCAACCTTTTCTCATTTATACACTGAGATTCCCAAACTGCTTCTCTGGCTAATCTGAGAAAAACTGCTAACTAGCAAAGCTTTTCTGCGGCTTCTTCTCAAATGAGAACTTCCATTTGCAAGTACTATGTGGAGGTTTAGATCAACATGTCAATACGTGGATTAGACTTCTGGAGAGCCACCGCATGCTCATCTTGCTGCTAGTGGTTTGTGAAGGCTGCTCTGAATCTGACTTCTTAACTTGGTCTGAGTTAACGTATTATGGTAATTAGACAAATGCTAACTGCCTCGCTGTCACGTGAGCTGGCAAAGCTATTACAAGAAGCCCTAGACCTCACTGTTAGCGCCAGAGATAGCTGGCCTCTTTCCTTCTGCACTCACAATGACCTTGATGGGAATCGCATGAGAACCCAGCAATGCACAATCTACTTTCACCATCTCTCTTAGCACTTTAAAGCTGTAGCAATTCTTTCCAGCTGGTTACCCTTCAGCAAACGTTTTGGCAAACTGTACACTCAATAAATATGACACAATAGCTCCCTGATACCAGGCACACCAGCATTGTACTTGCAATAGGGCTAAATCAGGCTACTTTTCATGCTTATGATTTACTTAGGAGACACATCTTTAAGCCAGGGATGGGGAACCTAGGACCTTCAGATGCTGCTGAACTACAACTCCCATCAGCCCCTTCAAGCCTGGCCAATGGCCAGGGATAATAGGAGGTGCAGTTTAGCAAACTCCGGAGGGTTGCAGATGCCTCCCCTGCTCTAAGTGATTTATAAATGAAATAACAAATAAATAAATAAAAACACTGAAATATGCTCAGAGCCGAGAGTGGATTTCATGCTCTTTGTTCAGCTCATAGTGGTGAGGAGGAATGAATGTTTCCCCAAAGTATCTGCTTTATATACATTATTTACACAATGGGCTGCAGGTGATTGGCTAATTCGGGAATTCTACTGTAGGCCAATCAGGTTGTGGATTCACTTCCATCTGGAGCTGGATTGGGTGGCTCCTGCAGACCAATCATACTGCTGCATTGTTCTAGGACCAATCAGACTGCTGCATTCTGAATCCTATTGTTCTAGGACCAATCAGACTGCTGCATTTTGGATCCTATTCAACTCAGTACATAACAAACACCATATAAGCCATCACTGTCATCACAGAAATGGTGCCCTTTGCCAGTTATGTCAGACTCAAACAGTGAGGCTTGGGCCCGTTACATCTACCTCCCTGAAGCTCAGCACTGGCACCCCACAGGGTTCTGTGCTGAGCCCCTACCTGTACTCGTTGTATACATATGACTGTATTTCATCTGATCCATCCACTGCAGTTATCAAGTTTGCAGATGATACTACCTGTAATGGGTCTAATTACAGGTGGAGATGAATCAGCGTATAGGGAGGAGGTTCAAAAAGTCTCCACATGGTGCCTAGAGAACAACTTGCACCTAAATATCAGCAAGACAAAGGAGATGGTGTTGGACTTTCGGAGGAAGAGAGGGGAACTAGCCCTGTTGTATATGGGGTGTGTGTGTGTGGAGAGAGTCTCTTCCTTTAAATTCTTGGGAGTTTACCTTGGTGAAGACCTCACTTGGAAAGACAATATAACTCAGGTGGTTAGGAAGGCCCAAAAGAGACTCCATTTCCTCAGGGTCTTGTGAAAGAACAATGTTAAACAACAATTGATGACCTCCTTCTACCGGTCCACAATAGAAAGTGTCCTCTCATATTGTATCACAGTGTGGTACGTTGGCTTGACAGCCACAGACAGAAAGTCTTTACAGAGGGTGGTGAACACAGCCCAAGATATCATGGGCTGTCCCCTGAGCTCGCTAGATGACATTGCAAGGGATCATTGCCTTAGGAGAGCGAGAAAAATTCTCAGGGACGATTCACACCCCGGCCAGCACCTTTTTAATCTTCTACCCTCGGGCAGGAGATATAGAAGTATAATCAGGTGTACCAACAGGCTAAAAAACAGTTTCTATCCGTGGGCTGTTGGGCTGCTGAACGGGAAATAATATAGTGCAACTGACTTTTGGGGTTGTTGTGTTTTGCAACAAGCGCACAGAGTGCAATGAGATTGAGTGTTTGTAGGGGGGGAGGGAGGCTCGGTTAATTTCATTGCACACAGGTTATACATTGACAATAAAGGTATTATTATTATTATTTTATTGAAAGACATCTTCATCATTGCAGGATAGCTTGGTTGGTAAATGCACAAGACTCTTAATGTCAGGGTTGTGAGTTAAAGCCCCACATTGGACAAAAATGACAGCATTGCAGAGGGTTGGACTAGATGATTCTTGTGGTCCCTTCCAGTTCTAAAATGCTATGATTGCAAGAAGATAAAACCAGAGAGTAAATAGAACCACACTCAAAACATAGAGAAAAACAACAACAACAATCAATGGTAGCCCAGAATCACAGACAGGCCTTCTCTGGATTTGCCTGGGAGATACGTATGCAAGGGATAAATACAGTATGTGGGAGCCTTGCACACAGGGACTTGTGGGAAGCTAAGGGAATAAGCAGGCAAGCTTAGCTGCAGCAAGTGCAAGAACTTGTGTTTTCAGCTATGCACAATTTTGTAATACATATTTTTAGAGATTTAGTGTGTAGTAAGGTCAGTTCAAAAGCACATCAAAGTGCAAGCAGATAAATAGGTACCGCTCTGGTGGGAAGGTAAACGGCGTTTCCGTGCGCTGCTCTGGTTCGCCAGAAGTGGCTTAGTCATGCTGGCCACATGACCCGGAAGCTGTACGCCGGCTCCCTCGGCCAATAAAGCGAGATGAGCGCTGCAGCCCCAGAGTCGGCCATGACTGGACCTAATGGTCAGGGGTCCCTTTACCTTTTTAAGGTCAGTTGTGGACAACAGCCATAGACATTGTTAGACACCCCACCCTTGTGTTATGCTCACAGAATCCCCAAATCCCTCCTTGTATGGAGTGCTCAGAATGAATACATAGGGCATCTATATGTGCATTTTGTTTACTTTTTAATGTGAATTCTACATTATACTTTCTTGACCATAGCTGTATCATTCTGAGAAGTGGCTGTGAAATTCACATCTGTTACCTATTCTGTGTAAATTATCTGAATTTGTGCAAGTAATTCAGCACAAGACGACATTTTTTCAAGAATATATTCCTGCAGGGAATCTTTAATATGTGGTCAGTTTTCACCTCTTTGACTAGCAATTTGGGATGAATTCCAACATTTATAAAGTAATGGATATCCCCATACTAGATTTGATATTCACTCCCTCAAAAATCTTGTCCTTAATCCAGATATTTTAAAAAGTATTACAAAACCAGTGCATCACATACGTATTTTTTAAATAAGAGCAATCAATTATTCTAACACACACACAAAATGTATTTTTCATTGGTGCATTAAATATCCAAATAATCTTCTCAATTCACTTCAGTAAATTCATAATGTCTACCCAGCTATAGCTCTGCTATACCTATACGGGGGGTGGGTAGTTATAGCCATATATGTTACTAATCTTCATTCTCTCTTTTCTATATGTAATATAAGAACAGAGTAATTCAAAGGGTGGGGTCAAATGTCAATGTACCAACTTTTTCAATACTCTACTGAATGAGGGATGTGGGTGGTGCTGTGGTCTAAACCACTGAGCCTCTTGGGCTTGCCGATCGGAAGGTCAGCAGTTTGAATCCATGTGATGGAGTGAGCTCCCGTTGCTCGGTCCCTGCTCCTGCCAACCTAGCAGTTCGAAAGCACATCAGTGTGAGTAGATAAATAGGTACTGCTGTGGCCGGAAGGTAAACGGCATTTCCATGCACTCTGGCACTCATCACGGTGTCCCGTTGCGCCAGAAGCAGTTTCGTCATGCTGGCCACATGACTTGGAAAGCTGTCTGTGGACAAATGCTGGTTCCCTCAGCCTGAAAGTGAGATGAACGCCGCACCCCATAGTCACCTTTGACTGGTCTTAACTGTCCAGGGAACTTTTACCTTTTACCTTTACCTGATTGAGGACAGAGTGATATTCTTCTTCCCTCTTCGCCATTCCAGGCTTTTTTCCGAAAACAACTTTTCTGTGAGGGCTAGTGTGCGCTTCACCCTGTTTTGTGTGGGTGAGAACTGAGAAGGTTATAGGTCCTTTGTGTCCATGTCTTTCCCTGCTCCATCTCCAGCACATTTGCCTCTACAGTGGTGTTGTTGTTGTTGTTTAGTCGTTTAGTCGTGTCCGACTCTTTGTGACCCCATGGACCAGAGCACGCCAGGCACTCCTGTCTTCCACTGCCTCCCGCAGTTCATGTTGGTAGCTTCGAGAACACTGTCCAACCATCTTGTCCTCTGTCCGTCCCCTTCTCCTTGTGCCCTCCATCTTTCCCAGCATCAGGGTCTTTTCCAGGGAGTCTTCTCTTCTCATGAGGTGGCCAAAGGATTGGAGCCTCGGCTTCAGGATCTGTCCTTCCAGTGAGCACTCAGGGCTAATTTCCTTCAGAATGGATAGGGTTGATCTACAGTGGTACCTCGGGTTAATAACTTAATTCATTCTGGAGGTCTGTTCTTAACCTGAAACTGTTCTTAACCTGAAGCACCACTTTAGCTAATGGAGCCTCCTGCTGCCGCCGCGCCTCTGCTGCGCGATTTCTGTTCTCATCCTGAAGCAAAGTTCTTAACCCTTGGTACTATTTCTGGGTTAGCGGAGTCTGTAACCTGAAGCGTCTGTAACCTGAAGCATCTGTAAGCCGAAGTA